GTAGATTTTGGGTTGCAGTTTGGGCACTCGGTCTCTAAAAGGTTCGCCATCACTGTTCTAGAATTTCCCTGCTGAAGTACACTGATTTATTTCATCCCATTCTTAACAATGCATCATTTTAAAAATATCCTATTGATGCCCAATGCAGCATAAGTTCCATCTTGAAAAAATACAGATGACAAAATATTGAGATACAGAATGTGCTGAGATATAGAGAGATAAAACAATCCTTGCCACTTCTTACTTTCTTAGCAAGGAGTAAGAGAGTCCAGGTCCAGCAGTCCCATTCAGATTTCAAGGTAGGCTAAAAGGTTATGTTTGTTCTTGACTTACAATAAATAAATCAGAAATCCTGTCTTTGCACACTCCCCTAAATAAACTATGGATAGACCCACCTTGTTTGTTTTCCTGCCTGTGTCCCCAAAGAAAAGTAGGGGCAATCCTGTTTATTTAGTAGTAAGCTAGAATTTGTTTCAGTTCTAGTTTACCGGGATATGTGTTTGAAGAGGAGTGTTATCTGCCAGCGCAGGCCCGTAAGGTTTAATTTTCACAGAAAGGGATGGCTGGATTTGATTCTGGGAGATGAATAATAAACACAGGTATATGAGTTGTAGATGATGGACTTCCTGTTGAGCAGGCAACATTCCTGCAAAGACCTGTGCTTCTAGTTAGAGATGCCGCAGGTAAATGCAAGGAGGAGACAGCACACTGGAAATGATGCTGTTTCCTGTTGTATTAGGGAGGCTGTTTTGTCTGTTTTTCTGGCTGTGGAATTGTACTGAGAAACATAGAGGAAAAATCCGTGATGTATGTTTACTTCTATATGAAATGGGATGTATTACGCAAGAGAGATTTTAAACTATTAAGGCCCCTATAGTAATAGTAATACACTTTCCAGCCAGTAATACAACTTTGTAGTTGCTTAACAATTGTGCCTTCACATAGGAGCATCTGCCATTGTTATCTGTGAGTCTTTGACCTTGACATGGTGTTACATTTTGTTCCCCTGGATTAGCTGAGGACTAATCACATCTGTTTACTGTGAATTAACTTTTTTCTCATTGGGAACTGAGCAGTTTTCCTAATCAAAATATATTAATAGAATATATAGTATATTGAACTCTGAATTTGTGTTGTATGTGAAAAGGAGCAAATTACAATTAAAAATCGTTGATGAAATTGAGCACTAGTGCTGAGTTTTGAGAAGGATGCCTGTCGTGATATGTTCTCCCTACTTATTTGCATTTCCTGCTCAGTTTTGCCCTTTTTATGGGGTCACTGTGACCCTGTACTAAGGTAAAAAAAAATGTTTTGCACTATGATGCGCTGTCTTGTGCTTATTACATACTATTACCAAATATTGTAAGTCACTCCCTGCATGTTGTGCTGGCAACCTGGATGTTTGTCTTCTGATTCATTTTTTACATTATTTATTTTAACTATTGTTTTGGATAAAAAAGCATTTCAAAGCAGTTGTCTTCATTCTGACACTTGGTTCTAATATAAATGCCCATTAACTTCAAATAAATATTCTCGAATTGGCAGCATAGATGTAAATTCTATAGAGTGTCATAGCGCCTCATATTTTTAAGATCTGAAATGATAGCTTTTAGTCTATCATTTACATGAAAACAAGTTTTGTAAACTACAATGTTTATTTTTAAAAACAGTTAGATAATCTAAACTTAGTGTCATGTGATGAACACTGGAAGCCAGTTCTAGTATGGAAAAGAAGAAGAAAGGCAAGATTTACTGTAAAGTTTGAAGTCAGGCACGTTCAAGAATAAGATGACAACAAGCACTATATTTAAGCTTTGTATGATTTTTTGCAGCTTTCCTGAATCCAGTATCTTCTAATAAGATGTGTTGGGGTACAACACTCGGGGTTCACTGCTAGTGTAGTCAGCTGTAGATGAATGTACAGGTAGTGCTGGACTTAACAATTACAATTGAACACAAAAATTATGTTGCTGAGAGTTGTTAAGTGAGTTTTGCCCCATTTTACGACCTTCCTTGCCAGAGTTGTTAAGTGAATCACCAAACTTGTTAAGTGAGCAACACGGTTGTTAAGTGAATCTGGCTTCCCCATTGACTTTGCTTGTCAGAAGGTCACAAAAGGGGATCACATGACCCCGGGGACACTGCAGCTGTCATAAATATGAGTCAGTTGCCAAGAGTGAATTTTGATCACATGACCAGGATGCTGCTGCAACAGTCGTAAGTGTGAAAAATGGTCGTTAAGTCACACTCTTTCAGTGCTGTTATAACTTTGACTGGTCCGTAAATGAACTGGAAGTCGAGGACTACCTGTATCTAGAAAACATTAGGTTGGGCAAGTTGATCTAAAGTAGTGTTTCTCAATGTTGACCATTTTAAGATGTGTGGACTTCAACTCCCAGAATTCCCCAGCTGACATGGCTGGCTAGGGAATTCTGGGAGTTGAAATCCACACATCTTAAAATGGCCGAGGTTGAGAAACACTGATCTAAAGCAATGTTGCTGAAGAAGCTTTGAATGGCAACTATTTCTTTCTCTGGAGCAGAGGTCTTCAAACTTGGCAACTTTAAGACTTGTGGACTTCAACTCCCAGAATTTCTCAGCCAGCCCTGCTCTGGAGGTTTCTCTCACAATCACTTCTACTGTATTTTGAGAGTATCCTAATAAGAGTTGAAGAAGGAAACACTGATGCCCAGTGCTGTTAGGTCAGGATATGCTATTGTGCAATGAAAGAGAAGTAAATTGAGGCAGGAGAATGTCGTGATATTCAGGACATACTTGGATATACTTTAGCACTCAAGGGTTACAGCAAGGAAAGTGAAGCCAGAGTAATTTTGAGTGATTGAAAATAATAGCCTGGTACAGAACTGCGGTAAATAAACCGTCTATCAATATTCAACCCAAAATTGAGAAGAGCTACAGATATGTACAGTATATTGGATTACGGTATTGTGCAGATTCATAGCTTGCTTTCTCCTGAAGACTTAAACATCACACTTTTCCATGTTTCCCAGCTCTATAATCAACTTTTTTTGAGGGGATTTGCCAATAGAAAAGTGATCCAGTATTTGCGGGTTTTTTGTTGTTGTTATGTTTCAAACCTTTGCATCTGTCTGGCTGCTTCATTGGTTAAGTGATCTTTTGTTTTCTAAAACATACCAAATGTTAAATGAAGTTTATGCCTTAATATACTGTATGAACCTATCTAATGGCTGATTTTGTGGTTGGTTTTTTTACGTAATTATTGTGAATGAAATTATTAAGTAACTCCATGGTTTTGTCATAATGCAGTCCTTTGATCAAGGAACACTGAAACCAAGTGGGACTTGAATCGAGTGATGTTGGGACCCATTTCAGGCAGTTAGTCTGAAATTGCCTGTTTTAAAAATCTTAGAAAAATGTAAATGCTAAATTATCCAGCTTTCCCAATTGTGCCTTTTGTACATACAATGCCTAGTATTAACAAACATTTTAGTATTCTCTACAAGGAAACTTGCAGATGTGCCATCTCTATTTCCAGCGTTTTGGGTTTGAAGGCGTGTTCCTTGTACCGCAATTATTTGCCAGTGATGATTCTTAATGGAGCAGAACTGAATATTGACCATTAGTACAAAAGTATATTTAGGAAACGTGGAACAGAATAATTGCTATCTACTTCAGTATAATGCTGAGACTGTTCCAGTATAAGACAGACCAATTACGGATGTATGCATACTATGAAAGATTTGTAGCTGCTCAGGTATGCTCTTTGAAATACTTAGAATGAAAGAAATCTTAAGTTGTTACTTTCCTTTGGTAACTGTTTTTTTCTCATTCATCTGCTTGCAATATCACTGTAGCATCGTAACAGAAGTTGCTACTGTAGCAATTAATGCAATTAATAGCAAGTATTTAGAAGCATTTAGTATTTTAAAAGAATACTAAATGATCTCAGGGGGTGTAAAAATCTATGTGGTTGCTAACAGCTGACACTGATTTGATGGCACATAATCAATAGATATATTTCAGATTCACTAAAATACAGATCTAGCTAGCGGTAAAGACTTGGGGATTTTTTTTCCTGATTGAAAAAAATACAGCATGAAAGTTAGGCTAAAAGAATTTTGCCTTAGTCATGGCTTCACATGTTGTGTGACCCTAACTATTGCGGCTGATTAACCATGGTTGACAGTTCAGTGTACTATGTGGGTTATTCCAATTCCACATCATTCGGTGAGTCATGATTAATCCAGCTGTATCTTAGGGGTTGGTGTAGTGTAGTACAACAACTACACATTTCATAGCATCAGTAAGAAACCCACTTCCAAAAACCCAGAAGAGTTTCAGTCCATTTCTTCTCAATCAATATGAGCAATATCATTGGCTTCTTAGTTCATTTTCCTCCGACCTTCTTTTCTTTGCTTCAAAACGTTCCTGTTTGTGAAATATTTTCTCCTTTTTTATGCCTGCTGAGTGTGAGGATGTCTAGAACAGGCTGCTTCCTTCCCTTCTTAGGGTTATGCCTGATTTGGTTTAAGTAGACGCCGAAATCGTAGCTGTCGGCATTTCTGTTCTTCAATAAAACTTGTAAAATTGCACAGATTGCCAGAAAAACAATTCTCAAGATAAGTAGCCTGGTACAGATTACTGTAGATTTCAGAGGATGATGCCATTTTTTATTTTTTTTAAATTTAAAGGGGCCAGGGACGAATCGCAGCCTTCAGGCCTGCCACATTGGGGGTGTCCTGCTCCTTGTTGTTCTGCTTTTTCTTTCCTCTCCTCTTGCCCAAACACAGCTGGGTTCACAAGAGGCGAAAAGAAAACATGATACTTCTGCCAAAGAGACAGGAAACTGTAGTAGCCTTGTAAGCAGCGAAGGGTTGAAGCACGGCCTGCCGTCCAATCAGCGGCGAGCTCTGTTGCTATGTGCACACTTTTCTCTGCCTTCTTTGTGGAAAAAATGTCTTGCACAGAAAGGCTGAATATGTACCCAAAGCTGAACATTTTTGTGTCCGCCACTGCAGACATCTGGATCCTCGCGACACTGACCCTGTAGCCCCTGTGCTGCCAGGACACCTTCTGTCCCACCACGATTCCAGTATGGTTTACGGTGGAAACAAAGGGCTGATCCAAGAAGGTGTGTAGTCAAAAAGAAATAATTCTAAATGCTGAAATGCTCTCGGAGTTGTTTTATGAACCCGAGTGTTTGTTTATATGTGTGTCTGTTTGGTTTTTCCTTCGTCAGAGAGCTGGTGTGACTCATAGGCTGTAGTTTCTTTGTCTACATAAAACATAATACACATGGATCCTTTTTGCCAGTTTTTTAAGCTCATTTCTGAGGACAAAGAATAAGGAAAAGAGTTAAAGGTTGTTGATTCTGAACAAAGGAAGAAGGAGAAATGGTAAGAGGGGTTAGAGGTGGTCAAATTCTTCTAGGTGTAGCATTTCACAAAGGAATAAAACACTTTGGTGAAGTTGAGCTGGGTGCTGATTCTTGAATAGCACCACAATTGATTTCACAGCCTACCGTTGTTTAAACCCCACTGAAATGAGAGCATCACCCACTAAGGTGGTATTTTGAATTGCTACGTGTTCTCTGTTCCTGTAGTGTTCTAGAGATAATACCTGTTCAAGTACATTAATTTTGGAATATCAAATCTTCTTGGGTTTTTCTTTTTCCTTATCATATATGGATTTATGATGAGCACAGCTCACACTTGTGTTCTCTGTTCCTGTAGTGTTCTAGAGATAATACCGGTTCAAGTACATTAGTTTTGGAATATCAAATCTTCTTGGGTTTTTCTTTTTCCTTATCATATATGGATTTATGATGAGCGCAGGTCACACTTGCCTTATTTACTTGTAAAATGTAACAGTAATTGACCATATTCTTTTGTGTGTATAGGTAAAATTTCATACAAAGCCTGAAGAAATTATTACTGCTTTCAAAAAAATCATGTGTTATAGCGGTGAATTCAGAGTTTGGTATTAAAGCAAAAAAAGTTTTATACAATTATTTAAAGGATTTATAGTCATGACTTGAAATCAGACTGGTGATATGTATTTTTTTTAAGTTACTATTCAACAAAGGGTGGGGGAAGTGAGGAAACACAAAAAAACTAACACGTCAACCTTTCCCTATTGCACTGTGCAGGAGACATAAGGTTTTCAAAGAAATGGGAGCGGGGGGAACCTCACAATTAGCTGATTTCCACTGCATATTCAACATCTTAATAGCTCAAAAGGTATAGATAACTGGTTTAAGCAAATCATTCTAATCTTTGTTTACATGTTTGATGGAGAGAGTGTGAGAGATGAATATTTCCATTGGACTCTTGTACTTCATGTTTAGAAAAATACTATGCTTTAATTAGAAATCTCTGGGGTAGCAGAGATTATTGAAAGCGATTTCCATTCAAACTATCCTAGTACCATTATACATAAATATGCCCTTTAAATCTATTTATGCTTTTGTTGTAGAGACAAATTTATTGGCTTGAATTTCTCAGGTTTTAGCAGTTACTTTGCAAACATAAACATTTAATAACAGTTGTGGAGAGAAGCTATGGAAAACTTGAGAATGTTTAACCTTAGTCATAGCAGATGGTATCATATTACTGAAATCTTTTCAGTGCAAAGTAAAAATTGAGTAATATAATGGTGAGAAACTAGTCACCCTCTGGATGGCATTGGCATAGTCAGTAGTCAAGGATGCTGGGAGTTATAGTTTGATAACATCTGGAGGCAAAATATTATTCCTATGTACACCAGTGTAGCAACATTCTTGGTTCATTTGAGTGGATGTTTTCTTTTCCATGCATAGAGGTATTGTTCGTGCATAAATGAGTTGAATTCTACTGGAATAAGAATTATTTCTGCATATGTGTTATTGTTTGTCCATGTTGCTAAGTGAGTTATGGTGTCCGTGAAATAGATGGTTGAGTATGATGGATAAATTCTAAAGCAGGGGTCTTCAAACTTGGCCCTTTTATAAGTTGTGGACTTCAAAGGTAAGCAGATTGCGTCTCTTTCTTAATGTTGTCAAGGTGGTCATTGTTACCTAGATGTGGTCATCAAGAATTTATTCTTTACAAGATAAAAATAGCATGTGTAGCGGTGTAAAACCTTTTAAGAGAACATGGTTGAGTTTTCATTGAAGAAAATTAAATTTAGGAGTATGCATACTTCAAACTATTTATACTGTTGTTTATAAAATTGGACCTTTTCTTTTCTCTGTTAAGACACCTTAGATGAATACTTTGAATACGAAGCGGAGGAATTCCTTGTCAACTTGGCCCTGTTGATTACTGAAGGCAGAACACCCGAATACTCAATTAAGGGCAGGACTGAAGGCTTTCACTGCCTAGGTCGTGTCAGTTCAGTTGGTTGTTGTTGATTTGTACTTACGTCACTGTCTAACCGGGTCCATACTACTAGGTACGAATACTACCAACCATTCAACCAAGAAGACCTTTTAGTCGTAATTTATGATATTGTACTGTAGTTACTGCGTAAATGGTCGGGTTGACGCGAATTAGAGACAAATATAATCCGTTCGTTAGTGCTCTAGAATGTATTTACTTTAGAAAGTAAATATGTTTGATTATTGGTCTGCTAAATTAATTTTTTGTACGTTATAATGGGGCCAACTGGATTAAGTAGAAAATCCTGGGCTTGATAAATGGAGTTACCTCTCAGAAATGCATTGCGGACCTCGTTTTCATTTTGCGTTATTGGTTTCAAAAATTCTATTTGGTTTTTTACCCAGGCGGATGTCAGTGTAACTTTAGGTTGTTTTATTCTTTTATTCAAGTGCCGTCAAGCTAGGCTTACCCGATCTGAAGTTGCATTGCTGTGGAAGAAAAATATTCCTATTATGATAGAAGTGATGCTACTTCCAGACTGTTGCTATAGCGATGAAGGACCCGCGACGGAAGGGAATGACTTAAATGATCCTGCAATCAAGCAAGATGCACTGTTGTTGGAAAGATGGATTTTAGAGCCAGTTCCACGGCAGTAAGTTTTTTTGTTTTTGTTTTATTGTGAGAGCTGGTCTGGACTGAAGCTTACAACCCTCTTCCAATTATGTCAACTTATCCCCTAGCACAGCCGTCCCCAACCTGTCTAGCTCCATAAACTGGCAACACCTGCAATGGTAGTGATGGTGGAGGGGGGGAGGGAGGGGATGGTTTCGCAACCTATTTCCTGAGCATGTGCAAATAAAACTTGGCACACTTTCCCATTGCTTGTGCAGACTGCTACCTGGCCATGGATTGCTACCAGTCCGCAGACCGGGGTTGGGGACCCGTGCCCTAGCAGGATCCAGAAAAGAGAGCCTTGTCTGCTGTTGCCTTTGTCCTCTGGAGTAGCCTCCCTTCGGGGAATCATAGGGCTCCTAGAACAAGCTTTAAAGAGCTGGTTATTTTCTCAGGCTTTAGTTAATGTCTGGTTTGGAGATAAGACTCATTTTTTTTGTTTTCAGTTTGCTCTCTCTAGCTTAATATCTTTATCAGTTGTCATTGTGAAACCTCCCCGAATCATTTTGGAATGGGGGAGAATAGAAAGTTGATGAATGGACGAGTGGTTAACTGAATTCAGATAAAATGATTATGTAACAGAGACTACTACTAAGGCAGAATCTGCTTATTATTATTTTTTTTTCCAAATTTTGTTTGTTCACTTGAATAGGCAGATAGCGTTTTCCACTTTCCAGCAGCATGTAGTCATATCTTGAAATTGCTGGAAGCTAATTGCCCCATACGGAGAAAAGTCGGTACTACCATAACGTATTCTAGATTAAAATTATGTTTCATAATTTGAGTCAAGATGAACTCTCAGAGACTACATGAATGCAGCCACGCAGTTTTCTTGGTGGTGAAAGGAAAAAAAATTGTCATAAATGATTTGGTGATGGGGAATACACGCCTACTTTTATCTGGGGCGGGGGGGGGGGATAATTGCATTCAACTACACTGTTCTGCCCTTTGTGTATTTTTCACCAGTGAGTATATTTTCTCTTTTGGTATATTTTTAGAACTGGTGATCGATTTATTGAAGAGAAGACCCTCTTATTGGCTGTCCGCTCTTTTGTGTTCTTTTCTCAGTTAAGTGCTTGGCTGAGTGTGTCACACGGAGCCGTGCCTCGTAATATTCTTTACAGGTAAGCTTTTGTCGGAAAGCCCCTCCTGTTCATTCATTCATTGTGAAGATGAGAAGCATGCTTTTATATATTGCTTCTGATTTAATTAGTCTGCTTGATCCCATTTAGGGGAGATTGAGTTTTATTTAAAAAACAAAACAAAAAAACCTTTATTTTAGATTGTGTGCCCAAAGCTCAGGAACTAGAACATGCTCTAAATTAAGACTTGAGCTGCTCTGACATTGTTATCTTGCTTTTAATTTTTTCAGAGTGAGTGCCGCTCATGTGGATTTGCAGTGGGCGTTTTCCCAGACACCAACAGAACATCTTTTCCCTGTCCCCAACGTTTCTCACAACGTGGCCTTGAAAGTCAGTGTCCAATCTCTGCCCAGACAATCGAACTACCCAGTCCTGACCTGCAGCGTTCATGCCAACTTCGGCTTCTATGAAAAGAGAGAAGAGAATAATGTACATCAGCACTGCGATTCCATTAAGACCGAACAGTCCAGTGTGCCCAACTCACAGCGTTCTTGTGGCAAACTGATGTGGGCTGAAAGCGTGCTTGGCATAAGACAAGGTCCTGAGTTTAACCCTGCTGTCCGAAACCTGAAATTTTATCCATTAGCTGGCCTTGGATCTGACTTTGGATCGTTAGAATCGAAAGTTCAGGGCTACACGGAGAGGAGGGCGCTGTTGCCAGAAACACCAGAGAGAGCTTTGAAATCATCCTGCTTGGCTGATACCCATGGCCATAATAGCAGCTCTTCCCGCCAGTCATTGGGAGATTCGATTCCTTTGATAGGCTCTTTACTCCAAGAGCGCCATGAAGTTATAGCAAGGATCGCCCAGCATCTCGTTCACTGTGACCCGGCAGCCTCCCCCGTCACGAGGAAGGCTTTTAGTACGAATGACACCGGTGTGGCAAACGCCAAGGCTCTACGTCATGCCCCTGTAGAGAAAAACCTGCTGAAGAAAGGAAGGGAATTGCCCTCCCTTGCTGCTAACTCTGAACACCACTCTTCAGAAAATGTTGGGAAGGCCCAAATAATACCAGAAGCACCCTTGTCTCGCTCCCACGCTCCCCCGAACCAGTGTTTCCGCCAGGCGAGAGAGGAAACCAACCCTCTCATAAGCTCTCTACTTCAAGAGAGGCAGGAGGTTATCACAAGGATTGCCCGACACTTGATTCATTGTGATCCACCGCCATCCCAAGGCGCACCTCCCGTGTTCAGTTTTCACGACGTTCCTGCCGTTAATCCAAAGGCTTTTCACAGTTCCTGTGAAGAGGGAAGCCTGCTGAAGAAACACAAAGAAGCCCCTTCCGATTCCTCCTCTCGTTCTAGACTAGCTTTACCAGCAGATGACCCCAACGCAAAAATTAAAACACCAACAACCCCGTTGCATTCGCTTAGACGTGACGTCGACCAGAACGTGTCTCCCAGCTTCAGAAGAAAACTGCTGCCAGCAGAGGCCAATGAAGTAGTCCAAAACACATTTCGTCAGTCTCCTCCCAGTAGAAGTAAAAGTCCTCTAACTTGCATGACCCAATCATGTAGCCAAGAAAGTTATAAACCAGAATTGACCGGTAAATTGGAGTCTGTGCTTTCTGGTTGTCCCCATAAACCTCAAGTAGCAAAGAGAGGCACCGCCAAGCCCTGTTCGCATTTCAGATGTAGTAATGAACTGGTTTGTAGAAGTAAATTTAAGGACAGAACGATCTCTTGTGAAAACAGCGACCCACACTGTTCAAATAATCCCCAGGTGGATCAGCACCGAATACTTGAAAATGTCAAAGCAGCTACGGTCTCAGCCTCGGAGATCTGGCACAAATACGCGTCCAGGCACTTAAATAAAGACTCCAAACAATCAAATGTTTCTGAACAAAACTCTCAGCTCACTAGTATTGAAAACTATTTACATAAAGACCATGACATTATCAAATGCACAAATAAACAAGACAGGGCGAAAAATACCAACGATGAGAACGACTGTGAGGTGCAGAGGCATTGTCAGAAGAAGCCTGTGGAAGATACTTTGGCTGCCTTTTTTGAACAAAGGAAGAACGCAGAGGTGCTGGTGAGTGATGTTTAATTCACATACGGTCAGTTTCTGTTGTATGTTCCTCCCTTAAGCATTGAAGATGACTCAGGAGAAAGTTAATCTCTGCCTTTATAGTTTTGCTTGTGTGTATACACATATATATTCAAAATGACAGCACCCAGAGAAATAATTGTAACTTGAGGAATAAGAAAGTTCTTTGGCACCCTTTTCTGGCCAATGCAGTGTTAATTATTTGCTGGAGATGATTTTTCTTCCTTTTGACTTGATACTTTAGCCATGCCTATTTCTGTAAAATGGGTGACTGAAATCCTTTTACTTTACAACATTTCTTCATTTATGAAAGTGAATATTCATGAATGCTTTATAGGATTAGGTAATAGGTGTAGAGTGTATGCAGGAAATTTGTGACTTGGCTACTCTATATTACTATAAAAGTACTTCAGATCTCATGGAAAAATATCCCGGCCCATGGAATTTTTTCATCTTCACTTGGCAATTCTGAACACCATGCTCTCTAATGGATACTGGAATTTAAAGCATCCCCATTTCTCTGGTGATGAGAACAGAAATGAATCAGCATGTCTTTTATATTTGAATTAAACTATCGATTGGTTTCCTTACATATGTGGTGGCAAGGTTCTACATTTAGGCAAGAAAAACCAAATGTATAGGTATAGTATAGTATAGAGGGTACCTTGCTCAATAGTAGTAACTGTGAGAGGGACCTCGGAGTTCTAGTGGACAATCACCTAAATATGAGCCAGCAGTGTGCTGCAGCTGCCAAAAAGGCCAACACAGTGCTAGGCTGCATTAACAGAGGGATAGAATCAAGATCACGTGAAGTGTTAATACCACTTTACAATGCCTTGGTAAAACCACACTTGGAATACTGCATCCAGTTTTGGTCACCGTGATGTAAAAAAGATGCTGAGACTCTAGAAAGAGTCCAGAGAAGAGCAATAAAGATGATTAGGGGACTGGAGGCTAAAGCATATAAGGAACGGCTGCTGGAATTGGGTATGTCTAGTTTAACGAAGAGAAGGATGAGGGGGGACGTGATAGCAGTCTTCCAGTATCTCAGGGGCTGCCCCAAAGAAGAGGGAGTCAAGCTGTTCTCCAAAGCGCCTGAAGGCAGGACAAGAAGCAACGGGTGGAAACTAATCAAGGAGAGAAGCAACTTAGAACTAAGGAGAAACTTCCTGACAGTTAGAACAATTAACCAGTGGAACAACCTGCCTCCAGAAGCTGTGAATGCTCCAACACTGGAAGTTTTTAAGAAGAGACTGGACAGCCATTTGTCTGAAATGGTATAGGGTTTCCTGCCTGAGCAGGGGGTTGGACTAGATGACCTCCAAGATTCCTTCCGACCTCCAAGATCCCTTCCAACTTTTTTATTATTATTATTATTATTATTATTATTATTATTATTATTATTATTATTATTATTATTATTATTATTATTATTATTTTAGTTCTCTCCAGCCAATTGTCGTCTTTTAGAAGAAGTTACCATTGAAAGCACATCTACAAAGTAGAGGCAATAGGTGTTATGTAGACAATATTTATTGAGTTTCCTTGACCTGTAGTTACATCACTGGAGGAATAATAAGTAGGAATAAATTGCCTCTTAATTTGTTAAGTACTTAGGAAAATGGAGTCATAATGGCACTCTTTATAACAGGATGCTGTCTTCTTCTTTGGGCAGAAAACAAGACCGCTCAAACATGTGTGGCACAAAGGTAATTTTCACCACTTGGATGGGACTTCTACCAAGGCCTTCCACCCCCGAACTGGATTACCTCTCCTTTCAAGTCCAGTAAGTCAAACTTTTTACAGCCTGGCTTCATCTTTCCTTTATTTTCCAGGTTTTTCAATAACAGCCTCTAAATGCTTTATGTAACTAACTTTGTTATTGGATCTAGATATTGCATTTTTTGTTCATTTTTCATTTTTTTTATAAAGAAAACACAGATTTGGCACTATACAAAGAATGCAGGCAATGTATCGGGGGTGGTACAAATGTTTGCTGCTTTTTACACATATAAAGAAAACAATCATTAGTTCTGGGGGGGGAAGCTTAGTTTGATCATTGTTTTGAATGTTGATGTCAAAATGACATTCCCATAAAGTTAGAAGTACTTTTGTCAAGCTCTTTACTGCCTCACCTCCACAGAAAGCAAGATTCCTTCAGGTCTTTATCAAAATGTATTGAAAGAGGATATGGTTACATAAATCTCAGTGATTAGATTAGTTTCCCCTTTAGAATTCAGCTTATATTCCAGGTTCTTAAGGTAGAAACGTCACCATCTTACTCATGGATCCTGGACGAAATGACAAAGAGGTGATTCTCTTCAGTGAGAAGATAAGATAACCTTTATTGTCATTTTTTTACTGTGGGCACAACGGCACACATCAAAAATGAAATTTAGTTGCCCGCTCTCAAAGTGAAACACATACACGACACAAACCTAAACATACTATATACAACATAAGTATAGACCCACACCCCTACATATACATAACAGATAAATATTAAATACTGTCCATCTTGAATATATAACGGAAGGAAGAAGCTTGAGAGTTCACAAGGTTAATGCTGTATGGCAAACATGTCAAACACAAGGCCCGCGGGCTGGAAGCGGCCCGTGAAGTGGTTTCATGTGGCCCACGAAGCCATCCTGGAAACAGTGAGGGAACGGCCCCCGCTGCCTTGGCCCTGGTCCAGGCCAGCCGGGAGCCAATGTACAATTTTGTGGTGGCCATCTTGGCACTTGCCCCGGTCCCACCCCCTTCTTTCAGAGACCCTCAGATCTGTCCCACTCCTGCCCAGGCTCCCATAGGCACTCTTGATGCGAATGATGTAGAACTGGCCATGCCCACCCAGTAGGCCACACCCACTCCATCCACGCCCACCCAGTAGGCTGCACCCACTCTGGCCACACCCCCCCCAGGGCAACTGCAATGTTGATGCGGCCCTCAGTAAAATTGAGTTTGACACCCCTGCTATATGGAATGAAACTATGGCTGAATCTGGATGTTCTGCTACGGATACCACGAAGCCTCCTTTCAGAAGGTAACAAGGAAAACAGATCGTGAAGAGGATGTGTAGTGTCCCAGATAATCTTGCAGACCCTGCTCAAGTAACGCTTCTGTACTATGTCCTGGATGGGAGGGAGGGAACTGCCAATGATCTTTTCGTCCATTCTCACCACTCTCTGCACTGCCTTCCTGTCTGAAGCAGTGATGCTTCCAAACCAGACTGGTTCTAAATGTACTGCGACAACTGTAGATATTCTGTTAGCATTATACATAGAAGAGTTTTTGCTTTCTGGCCATTGCATGCCACCGTTCTTCATAATTCCACGCAGATTCCTTTTTGAATTAGTTTACATTTGCACAATGCATTAGTGTCATTCATTAAACTTAGTGCTGTACACACTGAAGTGGAAATACATTGGTATATTTCTGGATATGCATGGCTTATGTACTGTATATTGATTCCAATTAAAGAAGTCACTGCATTATAACAAATGTATCCCTCTTATCAAATCATGATGGTGGTAACGGTGGTGGTGATGAAGCAATCTAATGTATTTAGCCTTTAAGTTATCTTTTGAAAGCTCCAGTTCTGTTATCTAGGATAAATGCCTCATCCAGCCAATTGGCGTTAGTCTCATTGTTTAATTTTAATTATTATCATAAATGTATGCGCTAAAATTTCAGACTCTGTCTTGGAATACAAAAACATAACTGTGTTTCTGTCTTTGCAGGTTCCTGAAAGAAAAACTCAGACAGGATGTTTTGATCTTGATGCATCATTGTTGCATCTGAAATGTCTGTCATCCAAAAGGTATTTTTTGGAATATGTTTTCTAACCTTTGTGTATTCTAAAATATGCTTTGAAGAAAATTAATATTTTGGAAAAAGATGAATGAATTGAAGCAATTCGGTAAAGAGGAGTAAAGACAGTGAATATTGGCATAGTGTGTTCAATAAAATATGACCCACAACTTTATACTAGTGTTTATGAAAACCATATATTGTAGTCTCTAATAATGCATGGTTACACATAGTTCTAAAATAGTGTTTTCCAAACTTGGCTACTGTAAGATATATGGGCCTCAACTCCCAGAAGTCCCATGTTGGCTGGAGAATTCTGGGAGTTGTAGTTTACACATCTTAAACTTGCCAAGTCCAAAAAATACTATTTTAGAATGATGTGTGATCATGCATTATTAGAAACTACAATATGATCTGGTTTTTGTGAGTTTCTTGGATTCCTGCACCATATTACATCGCAATGTAACAGCAGAAGAAATTGCTTCCATAACTTTTTAATGTATTATTGATAGATGTTGCATTGCCCAGACTCCATAATTTGACTTGAGGTAATTGTTATCCAACCAGTAAGACAAAGCAGACTTAGTTATGTCTGGCTTGAAGAGCTAAAGGCTCATGAAATGCTATGGAAAATGGTAAATCTAACAGCTAGAAATCCCTAAGGATTATAGAGATGGATGCCTTGTGTGTCACCAATGCTAGCATTTTTTTTCTAAATACTATCTATGTGGTGAGTTAGTTTTCTTTTGAGATGGCCTTATCAGTATTATGGTACTGAAATTGTGTTACATTCCTTTTACTTCAAAGCCTAAGCATTTGAAGCCTGGAATAAGAATCTTAGACCTCTATTTTTTTTGTTTTAAACTAGTCCACAACGATATATAAGCAAAGAGAACGATTCCGACATCCACGAGAAAGCACTCCTAAGTTCCAGTTCACCCTCTGTTACAAGTCTTAGCCTTCTCGGAAACTTTGAGGTAACTTACACATTCCAAAACCTTTCTTTTTGTCACTGACAAACTGACTGTTTTCTGTGTAACATATAAGACGAGCCAGCGGTTTGCTTGCGTGGAGAAGGTGCCAAGTTCAGGCAGTTGATCTTCAGTTAAAGGAATCCAGTACTACCAATAGCTTTTTCCTGAGAATTTTCAGAGCAGCTGCCAGTTGGATTGGCCAGCCCTGAGCCAGAAGAATGAAGTTCATCTGACTTAGCACTGGGAACTTCCTTTGGAGCCATTATCCAGACCAGCGTTTCGCGACCAACTTTAAGCAGGCTGGCAGGGAAAGTTTGGGCAGCCGAAGACTTCTGTTCTTCCCAAATTCTTTCAAGAGTTACCTTTGTTCCTTCTCTCCATTTTCAAATATAAATCAAGATTCTTAGGATTGTATTTTCAGTTTTCAGACTTCTAACAGCCATTTTAGTGGTTTTACCTCAGTGGATAGTCGGCTGCTTGATGGAGGGAAGGGAAGGGCAGGGCATACCTTGACCAATAAAATCCTAACTATCCACACATTGCATTTTTCAATGTTTCCTTTGTCCTTTCAGGAATCTGTACTGAACTATCGTTTAGATCCGCTGGGTATTGTAGACGGCTTCACCGCGGAAGTGGGAGCCAGTGGACTTTTCTGTCCAACTCACATGACTCTTCCGGTTGAAGTTTCTTTTTACAGTGTTTCTGAGGACAACGCGCCCTCTCCATATATGGTAAACATTTCAGCTTTCTGTATGTAGAAAATGCATGTTCTGTAGCGTCTAACACAGGGGTAGGCCACCTTGGCTCTTTTATGACCCGTGGACTTCAACTCCCAGAATTCCTGAGCCAGCCATGCTGAGGGGAAAGGGAGAGGTTTCCATACTGAGCCATGTTGGCTCAGGAATTCTGGGAGTTGAAGTCCACGGGTCATAAAAGAGCCAAGGTTGCCTACCCCTGGTCTAATACCTTAACAGAATAACAGAGTTGGAAGGGACCTTGGAGGTCGTCTACCGCTGCTCAGGTACAAGCCCCTTTTATCTTCTAAAAATCTTCCACGTGTTTCCATGTGATCTTGAGAAAAGCTGCACTTGGCCTGAGCCCAGATGTTGTCCTTCCGATCCAATATTGCTGCAGAGCTCCAATAAGACACGCTAGACAGCACGGCAATGCTTCTAATTGCCTTCTTGAATGTCTTAAGACTATGCAAAAATACTTATTAACAGTTTGACAGTTTGACTTTGTGAATTTATTACTTTGATGTGCTAATTCTTAATGTCCATATGCCTGCTTGTCCTCTTATGCTTCTTACTTTCTTCTCCTCTCAGGGTGTAATCGCTTTAGAGTCCCTTGGTAAAAGGGGTTATCGGGTGCCTCCTTCAGGAACCATACAAGTGGTATGTACCATGTGGCAGATCATTACATTGAGTTTGTGGGCCATGGAGTCTTAACTCCTTGCTGAGTGCAGGAATCCACATTGAGGCATCTCAGGTGGAGGGCTGTCTAGTTTTTGCTTGAACACAGCTACTGAAGGGAGGACACCACCTCTTTGTGTAAGTGGTTCCAGCACTTGAGAATTATTCATATTGTTAATATTCAGTTGGAATTTGCCTTCTTGTGACTGAAATCCAATACCTTGCAAATTGCAGAGAGAGAAAACAAGTCTCGTCCATTTTGTGGTGCTTTTAGGTAGTTGAAGACTTACGTCTGACCCTCTTCCATCAACTTCACTTAAGGCTAAACTTACCAGATCCTTCCGTGTGTTTCTGGTGCTCTGATCTTAATTACCTTCTTGATACCCTCCCGTTAATAAAACTATTTTAATGTGTTCATTTTTCATTAAATTTCTCATAAACAAAAAATATTGAAAACTAGAGGGCCCAGGGCAAATTCTTGTGACATGTCACATGATGCCACTGTCCAATTTGAGGAGGCACCATTGATGAAATCTCTTTTGAGTCAGCTGTACATTCAATTTTCACGCCCACACTTTAGTTTTCTAATCAGAAGATCATATAAATGATTTGGTAAGCCTTTATTTCATTGTAGAGCTAAACATTTGCTTGTGAAAAAAAGCTTGACAAGGAGAGTGAAAATAATCTGATGCTGTGTTCCTTGCTTTAGGTGAAGAAGTACGTTCTGGCCATACAGAAGTCAATTTAGTTGAGAAATAGGGAGGCAGTGTTTGTGAAGATACATGGTTAATTGCAGAGGTCACATTGCTTTAGATTAAGAGCAAGCAAGAAATTTACTCTTCATTATTTTTCCCCACTGAGAATAGGGTTCATTTCTTTGAAATTCAGAATCCTATTTAGTGGTAAAAGTCTAAATGCTCTTTGTTTTTACTGCAAATCGGCTAAAGATAAGTTCAAAGGAGGTGATTAGTTTCCTTCTGAGAAATTACACCGTTTGCAAAATGCAGAGATTTTTCAGAGTGTGATTTCTAAGAATCAGTTTGACTAAGTAATGATTAAGTCAAGGCAAAGGCTTTCATCACATTTACATGAGTTAATTAACTCGGAATGCAAGAGTGTCTATGTCACATTTACAACTGTATTGTGAAAGGCAGCAATATGCAATTGTCGGGTGTCTATCTCCAGCATTTCATTTCCTTTTGAACCTCAATCTTGTTATTCCCCCAACCATAGGGATGTCAGTCAGTCAATTTTGTTCAGCTGAAACTCCACAGATAATCTTTAGTTCATGAACTTTGGTGTTATATTATATTTAATAATTTTTAGGGAGCTTAGAAATGTATTGACTTTGCTGCAATACACTACATTATTCCTAGCTCTCTAATCAAAATATTTAGTAATTCATTGCAATACCATCCTAAAACAAAATTATATTACTACAAGAAATTATGATCAGAAAGGCATAAAACCAAGTCTGGGCATTGAAATGAGGTGAGTTTTTCCCCCCTCTGTGTCAGAGGTTGCTAAACTAATTTCTAATTTGCAACAGTATTTGATAAAATTAAAACGTACCTAAGAGCAATGTTGACCACTGGCTTTGAATAACGACCGCTTACTGTATTTGTCCAAACAGAGCACTGGAAGAGGGAATAACATGCTAAAATTAATTTTTGCAGCTTAAGAAACACCAGTGAGAAAACTGAGCATTTGATGTTAGAGTAGGGTTGGCCAAAACCACAGCTTCCTCCATCCCAGCAACACTGGGTGAAAAAAAGTTTCCAGAGGAGATGCCATGGGTCCATCGTTCTTAAACATATTTGGTTCTTTTTATCTGCTTCAGTGATTTCCGTGAATTCGCACCATTCTCAAACACACGGCCATTCTTTTCCCCACCCTCTAGACCTTATTTAATCCTAACAAGACTGTGGTGAAGATGTTTGTGGTGATCTATGACTTACGAGAGATGCCTGCCAATCACCAGACATTCTTGCGGCAAAGAACTTTTTCTGTCCCTGTGAAGCGAGAAACAAGAAAAAGCATTCTTCAAGAAAACACTCGGCATATTGAAGAGAGACTATTACGCTACCTCGTTCATCTGAGGTGAGACAGTAGCTGAGCAAACAAAGGCATAATCTCCGGCATAACCTTGGGGGTCCAAGGGGCTGCAGTTGACCGGAGAGGGCTGTGCTGAGGATCCCAAATTATGCATGGCTAGCGTGGGGCTCTTTTCCTTTTTAATGGCGATATACTTGCACGATGCTTTTCCCCAAATAGCAGAACCCTCTACCTTTAAGTAGCAACGGAGCGTCTTTTGGAACAAGGCAGTGACTAGGAATGCTGTTGCATTCACCTGTCAGTTAAAACACAGATAAACAGCATTGATTTGCTTTGACAGATTTTCTTTTCCTCCTTATTTGAACAGTTCGAATTAATTTAAAACTTCAAACTAAGCAACTCAAGTTTAGCAGCTGAAATCATAGACATAGTCTCCAAAAGAAATTAAGTCTTGGAACAGTCAACTATTTAATGGCTGAATCTCCTGGGAGATGCTAATTTAGGATGTGTCTCTCTTCGGTGGTGAACCTACCTTAGGAAATGGTGGTCAGCAAAAACATTTGAACCAGACTAAAGTTGACATTTACTATTTATAAAAGTTATCTTGCAAAACCCAAGAGGTCAATAATGCAGCTCTTCATGTGTACTTATTGGATCTCTTGAATATCTAAACCAGTTTCTGTAAAATAAGCTAAATGCCCAAACATTAATTTATGGTATACTTGCATCTGGATTGAAAGTTCTTTAGAATTGCTACAGACAGTCCAGACAGAGAGCGCGGTGCAGTAGAAAAAAATAAGGGACACTATTTCAAGATATAAACATTAAGAGTATGCAATGGTGCTTTGCCTGAATATAACAAATATAATTCCAAGGTTGCGATCACTTGTAAAACTTGTTCTTATTTCAAATAACTTGGAACTTTGGGAAGCAAGCATCAAATAAATGAACTGAGAAACAATAAGTCTCTTTTGTACTAGTTTACATTATCATTATTGCAAGCAGGAACTGCCGTTGGGATGCCAAAGAACTCATGAAACCTGACTATATTGGCAGATCTGTAATATGAAATAAAAAATTAAAAATGTTAAAAATGGCTGAATGTTAGGAGACCTTACAAGACGTTATTGTGTGAAGACTCACTAGATTTCTAGGCAGAAATACTGCTAAATCTTACTTAGCCTCATGTAAGACTTCAGTCTTGTGACAAATTGACTGTTATGTGATCATTTATCAGTTACCTATTCCTCTCCCAGGTTCCAGAGTTCCAAGTCTGGAAAGATCTACCTCTACAGAGATGTAAGACTTCTGTTTTCCCGAAAATCTATGGAAGTGGATAGTGGCGCTGCATATGAACTCAAATCTTACACTGAATCTCCAATGAATCCTCAGTTTTCACCCCGGTGTTAGCAAAACACAACCGTGAAACTATCCTCAATTACCAGATTATTATTCAAGACAAAACAATAAAATATCCTGTGCAAAACCTGAATCGTGGAGGTAGTGAGAAGGATGGTCAAATGGGAGTCAAAATCTCTTGGACCAGTTCAGAAAAGTTTTTAGAATGAGCTTTGTGTATTCTGAATAGACTGGAACACACTTAGTCGTAACCTTTTTATACTCGTTTTAAACCACTTCATTGGATGTGTTGCAATAGCAGATTCCCAAATTAGTTTAGTGTTTACACCTTATTTTATTTTTATTTTTGGGCTATTTAATATTTAATGTTCCTTTCACTTAAAAGTGATGTTTGTCTTTACTGTTCTAATGTAGCACAAATCCGATGTAAAATCATACTACGTATTTTTGACATTAATATTGAAATCTTGAAATATATACAGAACCTTTACTTCGATGCGTGATGTGTTTTTCAGTGATTAACTCGCTTAGAATAAGGATGGGATTTGAACTTCCATTACATTAGCACACTATGCAAAGGATGTGGGGGCAGGAGGGGAACCATGTATATGTCTTTTCCATTGCTCATTTCTTTCCAGGCTTAGTTTCCATGATAAACAGAAAATCATACCAAAAGAAAAACATCTTGATTACTCATGATTCAGCTCTACTCATAATTAGCACTTCCTTTCCTCTTAAAGGTCTTTCTTCAAGCATTTCACTTCTGCATACCCACATTTGACATTACACTGCTGTCCCATGCCTGACTTTTTCAGGCTATAGGGCTTTTTTATTTTTTAAGATGTAATGTGGAAAAGTCATATTTATATTGTAAATATATGTGAAAACAGCTATATTTGAATTCTGGTTTTATTTTGAGATAGTCTATATGCTTTTTTTTTTGTTCCACGATTGGTTCTAGAAAGTTCTTTTATTGCAGTATGAAATAATTGCAAAAGAACTGCCCATGCCATGTGTTAGTACAGCTGCTGTAATGGAAGAATATTCTTTAGAGCAGTGTTTCTCAACCTTAGCAACTTTAAGAAGGATGGACTTCAACTCCCAGAATTCCCTAGCCAGCCTTGATGGCTTGGGAATTCTGGGAGTTGAAGTCCACACATCTTCAAGTTGCCAAGGTTGAGAAACATTGCTTCAGAGTATTCTCTTAATGGTGGTTAGTATTTGAAAGAATTAGAATTAAGAAAAGCATTATTCTTCTATTGCTTATATTTCTCTTTTATTATTCAATCCCAAAATACAGTGTTAAGTAAAAAAAAATTGGTTAAACAAAATGTTTATCTCAATAACTTATCCCCAACAAACTTAGTTCCTTTGCAGGTATGAAAAATAAAAAATAGTCTCTGGGAAAGATATTTTGTCTCTGTTCCATCCAAAGGTTTGGGGTTTTTCCCCCTTGCTTAATTGGATATAAAATCTTTTTCCAAAAAGCAAGTAAGGAAGGAAATTAGGCTTATTGACTCTACAAATCTTACCTTCCTACTAAGATAAAGAGAAGGGCTTAATAAGAGTAATTAAATAATTTCTGAAACTTTATTTTCTTGGCATGCATATGAATACCACGCAAAACTAAATTTAAAACGTGTTTCCTGAAGGCATCTAAGACACCAGAAGGGCAAAGATTTGGTGCCCTGAAATAAGTGCCTTAAGCCACTTTAGACACTAAAGAATGGAAAGGGGAGTTATAAAAAGGCAAAAATACATGCTTCAGATCAAGTTGTAAGTCTCTTTGGGTACTGATAGAAGTAAAAGTCTTCATCCTGGTTCATCCAAGCCGGAGACAAATAAGCAACATGGCGACTGCTTTGGGAAGAAGGTTACAGTTTATTGAAGAAGCAGAAAGATGGTCCTTGCAAGAAGGCGCAGAGGAGAAGAAAGAGACTGAGCACATGGGCAGTAGGTTTTTATACCCTCTCTAGCCCTGTTTGGAATAGTTTCCTGTTCCTGTGGCATGAACCTTGAGGCTATCTCTTGAGTGTTTTTCTAGGCCTTGATATCTGTGGTTTAATTCTATTATCATATCCTGCTTCCCAGGTGATGGGGCTAATGACTCCTAGAGTTTGGGTGGGGTATGCAGATTTTCTCTTTGTCTTCTTGATTGCTCTGGCTTCAACTTTCTCTTGGTTTTACATCTGCATTTGTATGGGGCTAGCTCTTGCTTGGGGCAGAGACTTGGGGGCAAAGTTGGTTTCTGCGTTTTAAAATACTTTTGAGGAAATATATTTTTCTGCCCTTTTTAATATTTCCTTCTCTGGGGCTCCGACTTCCCACAGTACTGCAACTAAAAAGATGGCTTAGAAATTTGCTGTCAGTCAAATTCACTCAGTCATAAAAAGAAAAAGCTAACCAATGAGTAAGCCCAGAGAGAATTGCCTTAAAATGTAAGGCCATTTCTTAAATATGACTTAACTTTAGGTTAATTTAGAAGGGAGGCCAGTTAGCAATCCGATTTATCCTTTGCAGGTTTCCCATGGTTTGAATCCTTTTTTAAGTTTTCAGAACCAAACCTTTCCAGGTATGCAGACATAGACCCCACTGTCACACCCACGAGGCCTTTCTGAAATCCCCCCCCCCCGGACCCATCTATCTACTCGTGAGAAAGCGCTGTGAACTTGGCCAGAACGGCTCTTCTATCTACACGCAGTGTTTCTCAACCTTGACCATTTTAAGGCACGTGGACTTCAACTCCCAGAATTCCACAGCCAGCGGAATTCTGGGAGTTGAAGTCCACATGCCTTAACATTGTCAAGGTTGATCTACAGCCTGAAACGTTCCTCTCTCCTTCTCCAATGGGAGAGTTAGGAACTTCAACTCCCAGAATGCCGCAGTAAACAACTCCTAGTGACGTAGGCGATGACGCACGCAGCCGACGAGCCAAGCTCGCGCAGGAGCCAGTCGCCCTCCGCGCCTCTCCTGCTTTGGTGGCTCGCTCATTCGCTCTTAGGAGGCGTCCACGCGCCCGGAGAATAAGTTTGGCCCGGTCGACTCGCCGTCTTCGCCGTCGGCCATCTTGTGAGCGGCTGTGTGCTGGGGAGGGGGGAGGGGAAACACCAGGCGGTGGTCGGAGTTGTGCTTTCCAGCCGGCAGGCCTTTCTCGCCCGGGGAGGGGCTGTTCCCGGTAGCCCGGCTGTGTGGACGCCATGTCTGCGGAGAACCTGGAGCCCGCTTCGGCGGAGGAGCAGAAGGTGAGCGGGGGGGGGGCGGCGAGGGCTGCCGGAAGAGCAGCGGGCGGAA